AGCTTGATACATTAAAGGACTCACTGCAGAGACTCTTCCTTGCTAGCTTTCCATTTTCTTCTTAATTCTGAAAAAAAGTATTGAGACAAGCTGACTATCAAGGAAAAAGTGTAAAATTTAAAAGAGGCTGTCATAAATAAAAAAGCAGACATGTTTCTGTCCTTCTCAGAGAAGAGAAGCAATAGTGACATCACATCGCTCACAGATTCTTGCAGCATAATAAAATATCACTTTTGGCTTAGGAAATGCAATTCAGAGATGGAGCTGCCTGTTACTTTGGTTTGTTCTGGCAAATTCTAATAGGTTTAGAGTTTTACTGTGAGTGCTCTTTGAATGCAGAGAAGGGACAGGACAGTCCCATTGTTCAGCTTTTGGTTGAGTCCATCTGCTCCAAGCTACTGGTTTATAACTGAGGTTCTTGCAGTTCGCTTATCCTCAAGCACATTTGTTGTGGAAGTGCTGCCAGCCCAAGCAGCTGGGGAAATTACGAGAGCTTTCAAGATGTTGGAGGTGGGAGTAGCCTGAGGGGTCTGAATGAGATGCTTTACCAGGAGATGAATCTCCAGGGTCTCCCCAGCTGCCTGTGCTGAGTCCATTTTCCACAAGATGCAAGAGGAAGGAAAGGTGTTTTCCAGTGGACTGGGCAGAGTGTGCCCTGATGGAGTACAGATCAAAAAAAGCTTGTTGATGTGCTTATGTTTGCCAGAATCAGGCCAGGTGTTTGACTAACACTACACGTGGTGTACCCCACTGAAAGAGACTTCTCCTAAAAGGAAAGAACATTTCTTGGAATGTTTTCTTCTACTTTTTGTCCCTCTGGCCATGTATCACATAGCAGTGATACCTGAGAAATGGGCATTGAGTGGTGATGGTGTTCCCAGCTCAGGGAAGAGCTGCTCCTCATATGGAGGGATAGGCACTGTTGACAGAAATAGAGGGACAAGCAGGGAGCAAAGATGTAAGCTTTGGGGACACCAATAACAGTCACAGAGGCCAAGTACATGGCTTAGATGGTTCTGGAGAAAAGTGCTATGAGATTTAACTATCCCAGCAAGTATTTCATCACGTGGGTTGTCCCCCAATACTCAGCCCTTGCTGGCCATGCTGCAAGTGAGAAGTCATTTTCCAGAGCCTGATCCTTTTTATGGAGACCCAGGTTGTGGTCTGACCCATGTGAATGGCTATAAATCAATTTTGGGTCATGCTGCTGGTGGATTAATGGACCTGGGGGTGTCAAACTTGAGAGACTTTTATGGGGAGCGAGACGGAAAATGTCTTGTTGATAGATGGCTCAAAACACTCTTCTTCACGCCAGATTTTGTTCTCAGTCACACTCCAGAAATGTCTGTTCTTTTGAACCTGGTGGATACTGTGCACTTAAAAAGACAGAGAAATTAAAGAGGATGAATCTGCAGAGCATTTACAGATGGTGAATACAAGTACAATGCCTTCCAGTGATATGGCAGAGAGCACCTCTGAAGGTTTTTAGGGCTTTTTTTCTCCCTCATTTCAGCCCAAAAGAAAAGGTTTTTGTTTCAGGAAACAAAGAGAAAGAGAAGAGGATGTTGGTGATATGGACACAAAGAGAGGGCAGATGTGGGAGATGTAGGGCCAAGACCTGAGGGAATTTGAACCCCTCTCTCATCTCTGCAAACGTGTTCCCATCACCATGCTTCAGGTCAGCCTGGGCTCAGATGCTGCTGGTTTTTCTGATGAGGCTGTTGCACCTCAGTTACAGGCAGGCAGGCTGGGAGGGGAGATGCTGTGTTGGCTGTGCAAGGCTCAGGGCCATTCCTACAGCAATGAGCTGATTCCATGAGCTCCAGGACACTTCCAGCAGCAAATTTCAAGAGGGCCCATAAGACAGAAGCTGCCTTCCCAGACTGCATCCTCTTGCAGCTTGAAATTGTTCTGTTACTGAACATACATCCTTCAAGTGCTGATCAAAGAAACTCCCACGGCAGAGAAACATTATTGATTCCTTATGTAACACCTCACCCTGCTCATAGCCCTCACTGAGCCTACAGAGGCAGCGTGGCCAGGAATGTTACAGTGCCAGTGTTTATGTGGGAAAGGTGTTAATTCATCCCTGTGCATGTAAAACACTTTTCTGCCTGAGGAATTGCTAATGTGGGTTGCACACCCTGAGCGAGGAGCTCGCTGCCAAGAAGGACTTGGTGGAAGGAGGGAGGGGAGGCACGGAGCAAAGATTTGCCCTAACTGGTGAGTTCTGCTGTGAATTTTGGAAGCTCAGAGCCAGTTCTGCTTTCTGGTGGCTTTCAGCTGAGCCTGGTTTAGCTCTGCTGAAGGAAAGAGCTGAAGCTTCTTTGCAGAAGCACTCTGTGAGCAGCCTGTGCAGATCAGCAGGCGGGGTGACAGGGCTCTTCCAGTGGTCTTAAAAAAACTAATACATCTTTCTTGTCATGGGCCATATCTCTAAGGTATGCTAAAGCAAAAGGATGAATGGCTTTTCTAAGTGGACTGGATTTTGTCTCAGGCCCTGTTTGCAGTGTTGGTGTATGTAAGGACTCAGTGTACAGCTTTTGTGCAAAATCTTACTACATTTTTTGGTGCAGAACCAAGAACTCCTTGGTGAAATACCCACGTTCCAGGCTGTATTTTTGTAGTCATAGACACATTGTCTGTGGCTAAATTGCAAAGATTTGCTGCTGCAGTTTTTCTGTTGTAGGTGGGATTGTTCATGCTGTGGTGGTGATCCAGTGCTGTGCACGTGTGTCTTTAAGCCCTTTCCCTTTAAATGTTGACCTTTGGAAGGCATGTTTCTTTTCCAATTTTTGTATTTGTTTCAGTATTATCTTTTCTCCACTGTTACAGAATTAAGTGGTCAGTCCTAATATTTTCATGAAGAAGAAATGAAAAATCCTATTAAGCAGCAGCAGCCTTTCCTCTTAGTTCAGTAATTGAAAGGAGGGAGGTGTCACCAGCAAGTGCAGCCAGTGGATATTCTTTCAAAGCAGTATTTTTGTCTGGTGCCTTAATTCTTTTCAATGTTTGAGCCAGGAAAAGTTGCCAAAATTTAAATTATGACTAGCATACTTGTCCCTCCCACACAGTACAGATTATTGATAGTGGATATAGCTGGTTCCATAGGTAGTAGCCTTGCAGACTTTCTTATTCTGCTCATTTGTTTAACACACCTCAGCACTCTCTGTCTGTCATCCTGTCTTCTCTCTCTGAAGAACTACAGACATGAGCAATTTTTTGGTAGTATTTACATTTGTGGGGGGGAACACTAGCTAGAAACTAAATATTGCTTAAGTGTGGCCGTGTGAGAGTTTGTATAGAAAGAACATGATACCTACAATTGCCATGCTATTTTCTTGTAATGAATTTATACTGTATTGCTAAGTCTTGCTCATCACACATGTTGTAGTACTTCAGTTGCTCTATCTCTGTTAGGGCAGCTGTGAGTTAAATATTTTATCAGAACTAGAGAAATTCTCAAAACTGTGTGGATGTATGGATGCAAGTTGCTCTTTGTGGTTGTGTTCTGTTGCTGTAAATTTTTTTGATGCTTGTAAAGTTTTGCCCCAGCTGGATATGCTATTTTTCTCCATCCTAGAAAGAACAAGTAAAGAAAAAAAAAGCAGTGACAGCAGCAAAGAGATGCAGTGAATAAACAAGTTTTGCAATAAAGCGGTATTTTTAGCTGGGTATTTCATATTGTTTCTCCTTGGTCAAACCTTTTCCATGGTTTGAGAGGGTTAGCAATGCAATTTATTCATTTTTCTCCAAGGGAGAGGCTGTATTTAATATGTGCTCTCCAGGATACCCTGTTAAAATATTAGGCAATAAAATCCTTGACTGTACAGTAGTTGCAGTTATAATTTCCCCCAGGTAGAAGAAACTCTGTAATTTATTGTTGTTCAAGTGTGTGGTTGTGGCAGTGTGAAAAGATCTGCTTTGCTCCAGCCCAGTGTGTTTGTTGTGTCCCAGCTGCCCTCCCTGAGCAGCATCTCATTCCTAAAACTGCCTCATTCCAGACATGCACATCACAGTCCCTCAGGGGAGCTCACACTGTTCCCTCCTGGGATGTAAATTTTGTAATTCTCTGCATACAAACATCAGTGCCAACCACCCTGAGGAAGACACTCGTAGTGTTGAATCCACAGTGCAAGAACATGTTTGGTGGCTTCCTATCTGTCTAGAGTCTAAAATGCAAAACATTCAGCAAACTCTGTGTTGCTAGAGATGATCTCCCCAATCTGTGCATCAAAATAAGCTGAAAATGTCAGAAATGATCCCTGGGGAAGCCTGAGAACGTGGCTTTCCTCAGCCTGAAAATGGAGGGTGAGAACATGAATTCCTTCCTTCCTTCCTTCCTTCCTTCCTTCCTTCCTTCCTTCCTTCCTTCCTTCCTTCCTTCCTTCCNCTCCGTCCCTCCCTCCCTCCCGTCATAATTGTTAGGGATGTGGCAGCTGGAGAACCTTTCTTCAGCTTCAATTTTTTAGGCAAGATTGGTGTGTAGGAAGGGGAAAGGCAAACCACCCCCCTTTGCCTTGTTTGTCTTTGGTTGGAAGGAATGATTTTACCTGAGATATTTTATTTTTTTTTTAACTAAACCTCTGAGAAGTCATATTGCATGTTCCAAACAAACTGCTGAACTCAACTGCTTTTACCAAATGCATGCAGAATTTTCCCCTCAGGATCCTTGGAGGCCCTGGAGTGCCTGCCTTGCAAAACTTGGGGCAGTGAGCAGAGTCACTCCAGAGTGATTTCCATAGGATACCTTCAGACAGAGTGCTTACGTGTATTTATAAGTGCATTCATACACATTTAACACATCAGATTCTCTCTTGGTCTCTTACTGCGCACACCAGGCAGAAGGAAAAATAACCAAGCTTTCCAAAGAGCTGCTGCCCAGCTGGTAAACCCTGAAAAAACCCAGACCCTCCAAGAGGCACAGACAGAAGCAGTTTTTATCACTGGCTCTCTCCTGGCCCTGAATACACGTGGTTGTCTCTTTGTGATCATTTCAGATGCCTCAGGAACAGTACCCGCAGCGGAGCACCATGCAGACCTCGGAAGGACCCCAGGTATACAAAGTGGGGATTTATGGCTGGAGGAAGAGGTGCCTCTATTTCTTTGTGCTGCTCCTAATGATTTTAATCCTGGTGAACCTTGCTATGACCATCTGGATTCTGAAGGTTATGAACTTCACAATTGTAAGTAGGGGTTACCCTGGAAGGTCTGGGGAAGATGAGGGAGGGTGTTGGTCTTTCTTCTGAGCATGACTTCAGATACAGCTTCAATCATGGGGTGTTTCGTTGCCATGGACAGTCCTTTTATAGAGAGGAACAAATTTACACAATGATCCTCTCTTTCTACTGGACATTGCCAAGCTGAGGAATCAGCTCAGCACTGCAAATCACGTTCCTCTTGTCTGCTGTATATGTATATGTACATGTATTTATGTAAACAATACATCCCCAGTTTTCAATTATAAAGTGTTTTAAAATTAATGAAATTGGTTATTTTGAGCTTGGATGTGGAATGGGTTTGAGCTTTTGTCTTAGACTTTTTCTGCTTTTCTCTGTGACCAGGAAGACAAGAACCTTGATTTGTTTTTTTTTCTTTGGGAAAATCCATGTTGATGTAGTTCTGGAAGCTTCATGAAATAAAATAAAATTTACGGGGTATCTCCCTGTCTGTGGTCCTTAGGTGGAGCATGTCCTTATCCTGGTATTGCTGTGCTTGGTGCCCATCAGTCCCAGCAGCTCCCCCTTGCTGCACAGACTCCCTGGCCAGGGTTAGCTTTCCACTTCCAGGGCTGGTGAGCCTTTATGTATGGCACATCCTTGTTTTTCACTAGATAATTTGACCAGGCAGAGTGAAAATAAAGTTATCAGTCACCTCTTCTTCAAAGTAGTCATTGCCATCTTGTTCAGGTGAGATTATTCATTTTAAGATGTTTGAGTCTTTAGGAGAAGCCAAGTATGAGGTTTTAATCCTGGTTTTACTTCCCAAGGGAGCTGTAAAGCTACACTTTATATCCTAGACAACTTTCAAGGACCTTCCCAGCCAGGCTCTGATACGAGCAGCATGTTTGAAGTCTTTTTGGCATTTCTTCCTCTGCTTTGGTCTTGTGCAGTCCCAAACAGCTGTGGCCAGCATTATGTCATTAATGGGCCATGAGAAGTTGAATAAACAACCTCTGGCTTCCTGTACCCAGCAGATAAAATGCTGTGTCAGGGGAATGTGCAGTGTTCATTTTCTCTAACCAGGTTGCTGTCAAGGTGTGCAGAAGATTGCAGTGCCTGTGTGCATAGGGGGCAGGCAATTATAAAGCAGTAATCTACAAAAAGCTCCTGTGAGCGGGCAAAGAGTGGCCAAAGTGGAGCAATTAATGCTTAACCAGAGTTGTGGTTTAATCTGGTGAAATGGATGCTGTTTTGATACCCATTTCATGCTGAACTAGGGTCTTTAGATTAATGGAGTTAAGAAATAGGTGTTTCTGAGGTGGTGGAGGAGTTGATCATTCAATATACAGGCAGTGCTGTGGGTATGAACCTGAGAACAAAATAAAAAGATTTCAAATGATCACTTTTCAGGAATGCACTTTTCTAATAACATAATTCAATCCCATGCTTTTTTGCTAATTGGTGGTGGTCAGTCAGCTCCCTACAGATTGCCTGGGAGGTCAGGTGAACATCTGTGCTCTTTCTCCATCCCTGCCCTCTCATGATGCACTGCATTTTGCAGGCCAGGTGCTGAAGTGCCACATTCTAGGGATGTGTGCAGAAACCTCCCATTTCCAGCAGCTCTGTCCCCTCCACTAGGACACAGAATGGCTTTTGGAGGCATGCACTGATCTTCAGTTTCTTGTCTGATTCTGTTTCCTTACTTGCCCTCGGATTACTGGGGATTATTCCAGGGGAAAGTGTATTTGTGTATGGCTTAGTTAATTCATATCTACTAATGCCAGTGGATGATGAACAGCATTTGGTGATAAAAACACAGGTGGTGCTACTGAGTCCTGCAGTGGGAGCAGCTTTATGGTTGTAGGCATGGCCACACTAGTCAGGGTGAGTGTTTCTGGCACAGCCAGTTGGAAATAAATACAAGAACTGGGCATGTAAAATGTGAGTCTTGCCCCAGTATGCACCCATTCATCTCCTGATCTCCTGCTGCTCCTGCAGCCTCGCCAGCTGCTTTGGATCCTGCTCTGCAATCCCTCCTGCACCATTCCCTGAGGCTGAGAAAACCACTTGGCTAAGTGAGTTTTTAGAGGCAGACTTTTATCTCTAAATAACAAACATGGGAAAATTATCAAATGAACAGATGCAAATATGGAAAAATCTTTCATTTGTTCCTGTTCTGATAAGAGGAGCTGAGAGTCCTTCTGGAGCAGAGGAGTGATCTGAGTAGTCAGTGAGCAATAGCTGTTTAACAGGTCTGAGTTACCCCAGTGCTTGCAGAGCAGAAAGGAGAGGAAGGTTTGTGTTTCTGTTCTTCTGGAAAATGTCATATTTCTAGCATCTTCCTACCCCTGAGCTCTCCTTCCAGAACCTGAGTCTGTTCAACTCCACAGAACAGTCCTGGCGCTTACCAGAATTTAATGATGCTCATTATAGCCAATAAGTGCTCACAGTATTTTAATGAGCACAGCAAACCTGCTCAGGAAAACTCAGGGGTGTTTTAAATGCTGATAGTGGGGAGTGGAGAGTGGAGAAGGAGGAAGGAGATGAAGCAAGACAATCTCAGGATAAAAAACCTCATGATTGCTGTAGCAGTATCCATCCTCTCTGCTGCCTTGTCCAGCCTCCCTTTCTCTGCCCTGTGCCTGTCCTCCTGCCTTGTGCTCCTGGAGACAAATCCTGTGAAAACGAGCCATAAACTTCTAATCAGTGACTTTTTACAAGCAAACATCACTAATTTTTTTCTAGGTTTTGCTTTTATTTTTTTAATTAAATGCATAAGCAAATGTATGTGTGTCTATTGCCTCTTACCCAGGGCTGTCAAAGCAGTGTCACACCTCTGTGGGGACAGCTGGTCACTGTCTGCTCTGTCCTCTGGCACAATCATTCATTTCTCATGTACTGTTTGATACTCTCTATGTTTTAAATGCTTTTATCAGGCACAGGCTGTATGAAAAACAGGCCTAGAGGGGACCTCAAATGTCACCTGCCTGTCCCACGGCTGGTTCCCATGGCCAGGTCCATTTGCTGTGCTCATTTACATCAGGGCTGAGCTGCTCTGGGCAGGCTGCTGCCTCTAAACCTTGCTTGGATTTTTAAGGCAAACCACAGAATGAATCTGGACCAAAGCCACCCATTTGGGTGAAAACCAAATGTACCCTGAAGGTGGCCTAACCTAATGGAGGTAGAAACCACCATCCAGCACTCAACTTTCCAGTGATACTCAGATACAGAGTGCCCTGCTTCATTCAGATCTTGGCTGGTATTAAGTCTGTGGTTTGCACATACTGGGCTGGAGGAAGTGGTGTTACTGCCTGTGGGTTGTGTGAACCACTCAGTCTGCAGGTCCCAAACAGACACAGCTGCATCCTGCAGTGACACCAAGGTGGCAGAGGGCTCACCAGCAGCTGGGGAAGCCTGCAGCTGTGGTGGGCTCAGCCTCCAGCTGTGCTGCTCACAATGTCCAACTGTGCTGCTCTGAATCTCCAGCTGTGCTGCTCTAAACCTCCAGCTGTGCCAGGCTCAACCTTGAGCTGCACAGAGCTTGGCTGAGGTGGGCGCAGCCCCTGCATGGGTTTGTAGGTCCCAACTTAATTATAAAGCTGGAATGAGAGCTCTTAACCTTCTCTTTCTGGTCCACCTGCATGAGCAGCCAGTGATGCAGCTCTTCAGCAGCAGCATGGCCTGTGACTGTGCATATCAGCACATGGATATTTTATGCTGCACACCAGTGATGTGCTGGGGATCTGTATTTCACCTATTACTAGTGAGTTTAAAGCATTTTTTGAAAAGCTTCCTGTAGTATTAGTTTCTGAATATTACAAGAAAAAATGTGCTTACATAAACACAGTAAACCAATATCCTTATTTTAAGCAGTCCGAAGCTAGAAAGCTCTGATAATGGGCAATGACAGTGCACTGACCTCTTTCCACAAGGCTAGCACACAATGCCTGGTATTTTAAATGGTGTTAGGAGTCTGGAGCACAATGCATTAGTACCCCTTTATAGCCTGTTAGGCAGCAGGCAGAGCTTTAAACAGGAGAGATGAGGGCTGTGTCCTGTTGAGGCTGCATTTAAATGTCAAACACCCACCTACTTGTCTGCCCATCAAACCATATAGGAGCTTTTACTTTTTCTTTGCCCTTCACCGTGTTTCTATCCACAGCTCCTGTTGCTTGTTATGGATTGTATTTTATTGGGGCAGGAGCTGTTTGCATATGTAGTGTTAAATACTGACAGTCTCTACTAGACTTTAAACTGTAATAAATAGAAAAGAATAATATTTTGCCCCAGTCAGTTGAAATTCCTGGAGAACTGTCTTCTAAGAATCATCCAAAGTAAAGGCTTCAGATTAGTTTTGTAAATAAAATATTCTGCAACTTGGTATTCAGGAGTGCCTCCATGAGCCAAACTTAACATGTTCCTCCAGACTGGGAGAGCACCATCCCTGGAGGTGTTTACAGATGTGCAGCTGTGCTAGTTAGGGACAGGGTTCAGGGTGGACTTGGCAGTGTTGGGTTAGTGGTTGGACTCAGTGATCTTACAGGTCTTTTCTGACCTAAATAATTCTGTGACTGCATGTGCTGTGTCCAGGCCTGTGCAGGCTGCTTGTGCCACCTGTGTGTGCAGCTCCAAGGGGATGCAGGGTGGGATGGGCAGGCAGTGGCCCCCTCCTTCCACCTTCCACGGGGCACAGAGAGGGGGATCTTCCCCTCCTGGCCCAGTCAGGCTCAGCCCGGGGGTCCCTGACCACAGCCCTGCCACCTGTGGCTTCTCCTTCCAAAACCACACGAGGTTTGCACCCTTTAGCATGAAGTTCAGCCATATTTTATTATTGTAATTGAACAGGAACAAATTACTTCAATTGTTCAGATTTTCCCCTTTTTTTGCCTCAGGCTGCATTCATAGCTGAAGGGGTCTTGTTTAGCAACTTTGAATGAAATGTTGGCAATTTAGAGGGACAAAATGCTGCTGTGGATGGCACAAATGCTAAATATCATTATTATCTTGCTTTCTTTATTAAAAGT